CCCCCCCACTCCATGAGATTTCCTCTCACTTCCTGTTGTATCCATGGGACAAGAAGTGAAGACAGAACAAAAACCTGGCAGGGGTCTTAGCCATTCCATACTCAATATTACGCCTTCTGGCTGAGCTCCAGGCAAACTGCAACTAAATACACAACTGAAAGGCTTCTTTACCTGCTAAAAGATATGTATTTCTGTCCATCAAGTTCTGAGATTTATACAGCTCTGCCACGCAGCACAGCCAGGCTTGGTGACCTGATGCAAGGAACACAGCTAGGTCACCTCTCTGCCCCTAGACTGTGATTGGACGGTGAAGGAGCAGCAGAAGACTAATGAGTTAATCTCCATGCTCTCCTTCTGTCAGCACATTTGCATGCCTCAAACCTGATTGGCCTCTCGTATTGCCCCTCCCTCTTCCAGTCCAAGTGCTGCCGTGCAAGGAAGGACAGGAGGTCACCATCCAAGTCCTCCCGCTAGCTGCATGTTACCGTGTTTCCCCCGAAAGTAAGACCTAGCACTATCTTTAGAGCAGGGGTCTCAAACCTCCGGCCCTCCAGCTGTGGAACTACAAATCCCATGAGGCATTGCAAGATTCTCACAGCCACGACTCCCGAAGAGAGATGCATCATGGGATTTGTAGTTTCACCACAGCTGGAGGGCCGGAGGTTTGAGACCCTTGCTTTAGAGATTCCTGTAATATAAGACCTACCCCGAAAATAAGACCTAGTTCGGTGGGAGGGGGCGCACAGGTATTGCCGCATCCAAGCAGCCAGTCAGGGGGTCCGAGAGTAACCTTCAAATTATATGAGCAGCAGTGGTGTCGGAGTGAGGTGAGGGAACTTCTGACTGGAGGTCCGTGCGACGAGAGAGGTGGCATCAGAGAGGAGAGCTCCAGGACAGCTGCAGCCTGCAGGTATTGTGACTCTGTGCAATGGCGTAACAATCACCATAGCGACCCATGCGGCCGCTATGGGCCCCGTAGCACAGTGGGGCCCGGAGCACAGTGGGGCCCGGCCAGATGCCGTGCGGGCCGCCTGGGTCTTGTCCTGCATTAAGAAGGGGATGTATTGCAGGGACAAGTCTATAATTGGGTCTCTATATAGATCGTTGGTTCGGCCACATTTGGTCGCCGGTACTGAGAAGGGATGTCCTTGAACTGGAGAGAGTCCAGCGGAGGGCAACCAAACTAATTAGGGGAATGGAGGACCAGAGCTACGAGACAAGGGGGAGGGGCTGGAGGACCAGAGCTATGAGACGAGGCTTCTGACCTTAAACACTGGAAGTAAGGAGATTAAGGGGGGATATGATTTTGATGTACAAGACGTTCAATGGTGACGGCCGCATTGGCAACAAACTGTTTTGAGATTAACTCCATTACAAAGATTAGAGGCCGCCACCTAAAGTTGGTGGAGAAAACATTCCAGCACAAGGGGCGAAGAGGGTTCTTTACAGTCAGAGCGGTTAGGGTCTGGAACTCACTGCCATCGGCCGTCATCTCAGCCAAGAGTGTGGAATTGTTCAAGAAACGTTTGGACAATTTCTTGAGGGACCGTTATATCCGGGGGTACCAGTATCCCTAAGAATGAGATGATGCGTGGACCTATATGGGTTGGACTTGATGGACTAATGTCTTTATTCAACCCCAAATACTATGTAACTATGTAGATATGGCATCCTCTGCTGGCGGCTTTCACTGGCGGCTGAAGACGAACACGCCGCTGTTCAGATCGCTGACAATAATCTGCGCAGCAGCGCGTTCCTCTACACAGAGTCAATGAGAGCCAGCAGCGGCAGTGGAGGAGGAGGCTGGGGCCCGCGGTCGGCAGCAGGGTAGGAGGCGGGGCCCGATGATGAAGAAGGAGGTGGGCCCGGCGACGGAGGAGGCGGGGCCCGGTGATGAAGGAGGCGGGGCCCATCAGCGACCGTGGAGGAAGAGGAGACGGACAGGTAAGGAGTGTGACCAGCCCACCTGAGGGTGACCCTGCAGAGCCCACCATAGTGTATGGTGGGCTCTGCAAGGGGTATAACTAGAAATCACGGGGCCCCATACAAAATTTTGTCATTTTGTTGCACATTAAAAAAAAAAAAAAAAAAATCCCCTGAAAATAAGACCTAATGTGTTTTTTTGGGGTGAAAAAAAATATAAATACAGTGTCTTATTTTCGGGGGGGAACGGGTAGATATGTACAAAAATAACCGCACTGCATATATAAAATGTTAATGGGCGTTATATTGTATTATCCGCCGGGAGCTTTGGTCATTTGTACGCGGTATGGCGGCGACTTCCTGTCGGTAAACTCTCACGCCTGGCCTCCCTGGAGCTCCAGAATCCGGGCCCCGGGATTCAGTATCCGGAGCCGTGCTGCAAAACGATGTTTCATTCCCTTTAAATAGCCGAGATAAACACGATCCTCCGGCCACTGAATTCTGCCGAGGTGTCTCCTTGCAAGAGGCCATGAAATTTCTCC